CTTGTTTTCAATCAGAAGGGTAGGCAATGGTAACTATATTTTCAGGTGGGTCTGCTTAAGTTTGAATAATATTTTTTCTGTTGCTGCTGATTGATCACATGCTTTCAGTTCAAATTAATTTTATACCACTTTAGTGTGCTTTTAACGACTTCCATTGCCATATGGCCTTCTCTACAACATTGCATTTTGCTTCTGTAAGACCAACAGGAAAATAACTGTTGCTGATTTTTGCCTCTTTTAAGAGCTTGTCTGCTCATGTCAGGCCCACTCAGAATAATCTCTTTTTGATTAAGAGACAACTGAATAGGAACCTTAATTACACATTTTTAAATCTCATTTTGATATGATGTGACATAATCACAATAACAATATGAAATCATAGACCTTGCACTCAAGAGGAGGGATTATACAGGTCTTATCACTAGGAGAAGGATGTTTTGGGGGCAATCTTCCCAGCACACCAAATGGCAGGATGAAAAGTTAAGTCCAGTACTACTGGAAATCATAAAATATAGAAATAATTACACACATTCTATACTGCTAAGGTAATAAGTATGTGCCAATTGGTTAGGCCAGATGACATCTCAGATCATGCATAACAGTATGCAGGAAAAAGAAACTCCTTTTGTGAATTCAAGAATATTTTCCAAACCAACTTTTAAATTTTTTCTCATACCTGATACAGTTTTCAAGCATACAAACATGCCCATAACATAAACATAGTTAATTTCTCTTCTTTGAAATTTCAACTTCTTTTAGCCAGTGGGGTCTATTGGCCACATGTCCCCCCATTAACCCCAAAAGATGTTATGGCCTGTGTTAGTTAACTATTGCTGTGTAACAATTACCCCTGAATTTAGTGGCTTAACACAACACAGAGTTTCTGTGTACTTCTATGGACCAGAAATCTAATCGTTACTTAACTGGGTTCCCTGCTTCAGTCTCTCTAACACAGCTGCAATCAAGATCTCACTCAGGCAGGATCTGTTTCAAAGCTTACCATTGGCTGTTAACAGGATTCAATTCCCTGAAAGCTATTAGTCTAAAGACCTCTGCTCCTAGCTGGTTGTTGGCCGAGGGCCACTCCCACCTCTGTGTCAGATGGGCCTCGCCAACATGGCAGCTCACTCATCAAAGCAAGGAAAAAAGTAACAAGACAGAAGTGATAACATTTTATAACCTAATCTCAGAAGTGGGATCCCATCATATTTGTCTTATGTAATTCATTAGAAGCAGGTCATAGGTTCAGCCTATAATATGAGGTTTCAGGGTGCCCTCAGCTCCTCTGAAAGACTGTTTCTCCAGGTTCTTGGCCTCCTGCCCTCTGGAGAATGAGAGAGGGGATCACGGCACAGTGCAATGTGAATGCTGGACTCAACAGTGTTTGTAGAAAGTGATTTATTTAGAGAGAGAAAAAGGAGAAGGAGAGAGAAACAGCTCTCACACTGAGTAAGAGAATCCAGAAAGAGGGAATCTAGGAGAGAAAAGCAGCTTCCACACTGAGTGGAAGGGAATAGAGAGAATGAGATGGGGTTTAGGAGGGGAAGACAGGCTTCCACAAGAGAGTGTGGAAGGGGACCCCAGAGGGGAAATTCAGGAGAGAGAAAGATAGCTTCCATGAAGGGAGTGTTCGTGGAAGGGGACCCAAACATGGAGTCCAAAGGGGTGTGGAAGAAGGGGACTTTTAACCTGGAAGGAACCCCCACCTTCTCTAAGATCCCTGGGCAATGAAAGGCATTCCTTAGAACTTCTGCTGGAGTGATTGACTCTTAGTTTCTTCCCGTGCCCACAAAATTCAAACATAAACCATTAAATCTCCAAGACGGAGGGAGATGGGAGGCAGGCATGGCGCTAGGAAGTTCTTGACCTTAAAATTACACCCCCCTGGTGGACCCAGAAAGAGAACACATTCCGTGAAGCCCACACTCACAGAGAGGGGTGTGAATTCAGGAAGGCAAGGATTGTTAGGTGCCATCTTAGAAGTGTACTTCCCACAGTGCCTGAATGAGGGAACCATTTATCACACTGAGGAGAAACAAATTAAAGTGTTTGTTTCCAAGAAATTAAATAAAAGCTGCTATGATTACATTTACTTATTCAGAGCCAAAGCAACCAAGCTTGATGGGACTGGGTTCATAATTGGAGTGGTTAGCCCTTGTCTGAGGAGAGAGGGCAAATGGAACCCAAAGATGAGAAGCTAAATTCAACATCAGAAGAATGACATTAAGTACCAAGTCCAAGGCATGAGTCTGAGACGTTGGATGAGAGAAGAATAAAAGGTCAGAAACCCAGAATTACCAAGTCAGTGTAGAAGCAAAATATCAGACCACATATAGCAGAGAAGTTCAAGAACCAAAGGGACTCGTGGCTTTAAAGACATAAGGTTAGGCTTTTCCTCTCGATTATTGATTGAATGGTTAGGAAGTATTGCTGTATTTTTGCTTTATATTCAAACAAATAGAAAACTTACTGATTTCGTGAAAACGTTGAAATTCGGAAGTACTAGTCCAAGTAAAATTAAAAGGCATCAAAATATTCATTTTTAGCAAACACGAGATTATACATTTTCTTGCAAAATGCATAGAATATTGTTTGTATCAATTGATTTTATTTTCTAATAACATTTACAGTATGAAGCAGCATTTTACACCGGATGCTGTGGCTACACCTCAGAATCATCTACCTCAAAACACCTACTGGTGAAGTCACCATTGGCTTCTCCTTCTGGTTTCTTTTTAACATTCCCTTATTTTGACCATAAGAAGCTACTTTCCATGAAATTCAACAAATAATATAATTTAAAGAGTACAGTATCCTTCCACAGTATTTTCAAAAGTGGTGATTTCCTTGCTTTTAAAATTTTATTTTTCAATTTTTTTTACTTGCCACATAACTATGTAATAGAACTAAAGCCTTATTGAAAACAAAGAACCACTTATTTATAGTAAAAGAAATCTAGTTATACTTAATTCTCTTTTTGCCTGCCTCCAAGTATAATTTCTACTAGATTACAGAAGTAACCAATTATTTTCATCCATGTTTCCCTTCATGTGCCTGGAAACTAACTATTGTAACTCTTATTTTGAGAGTTTAAATTTATTTTTAATTCCTTTTTAAATAAATTTACTTATTACCTCCTCTAATCTTAGATCATTTAATTATAATTCTTCTTAAACTTTGTTTTATTTCTACCTTTTAGATAGAAATACAGTTTAAAGTACCTGTGGGAGAATATATACTTCTCTGTATATATTGACCTATAGCACCATTTGTTTAGCTTTCATTTAAATTAGCAGACAACTGAATAACAGCTAATACATCAGTATGCAGCAATTTAAATGCCTATTAAAATTTGCCAATCGAACCAAACTCCCAGCTTTGCTTATTCAGAAAGGGCTGACATTTTCTTGCCATACGGTCTACTAGAGATAAGGCATGCAGTTTCAGATTAAATTAAACGTAGCATTTCTCTATATTTGGGTTATCTTTTATTGTTTTTGAAAAAGCAAATCATTCTGAGAACTTATCCAAATTTTAAAGTTTGTGATTTTCAGGATGTCAAAACATTTTGCAAAGTATTTTCTTTAGCAACCTACCATGGTATGTGAAATGTAGGCACTTGTGATTGTTACGGGCTATTGAAGCTGGTGAGAGAGAGAGAGAGAGAGAGAGAGAGAGAGAAAGAATATAGACATAGGTATGTATTGCATCACTGAAACAAAAATGCTTCCGATAGCTTATCAGACCAAGGCCCTGAAGTGTTGTACAGATAAACTTAAGGTTCTTGTGTGTGTTTGCGCGTATTTATTATGTATGTGAGTTTTGGGTTAGGGAGTGAAAGAACTAGGAAATTATGTGCCTCAAGGAAGGGAGATCAGGAATGGAGAAACAAAGTGCACTCAGGGGAAGCCTGAGCAACAGATGGGGATGATGGTACTAGGACAGGGTCATGACACAGGGAAGGGTGTCAGAATTTAAACCATATCTACCCTGTAATGTGTGAGGCATCCAGGATATGTTAATTTAATTTTAGCTCTTCAGTGGCTTATGCCTAAAAATTAAAGGAGGATTTAAGAAATAAAATGCAACCTTGAAATAACATTTCTTTATTGGGTCCTAATAAAGAGTTTCAAATGGCACTCTCTGTGACAAATCACACACATGTTCATTGCTACATTTCCAGAGTCCTGATATTTGCAACTGCCAAAAATAATCAAATAAATAGTCCTTTTTCTTCCTAGGAAGAAATTCTTCTAAATTTGGAAGCCAATTCCCCAAAGAGTTTATGCTGTTGAGAGAAAATTTGTGAAGAAAAGAGTCTATTACTTAATTTTTAAACGTTGTCAATAGTGTTGACTTGCAAGAACAGTTTATCATTTATTCAATATGTGAAAAGTACTTGACCTCATCTAAGTTTGCAACTAGCCAAACGCAAGATCAGGAATGAAGTTAAATATATCAGCATCATACTGCCTTCTTGTCTTATTTCTCCTTTCCTCTTATGCCTTCTGAAGTGAATGAGGTAAAAATTCAGATGATGATTGCTTGTGGAAAGGGCATCTTTATTCATTGAGACAATCCTTCTAAGCTTAGAATCAACCCCAAATCAAGGAAAAGGGTAAGACTGTAAAATATTTGAGTACTAGTGAGTCTCCATACATATTGCTTTATGAGTGATCATTTATGTCACCCATATGGAAAGCCAATTCTAGTGAGTGTATTACATTCTTGGTTCACAGAACGGATGATTATTTAAATTTTAAATTTAATAAGGAAACCTTCTTATTGTTTTATAGTCAATTTGATCTATGGAAGGGTTCTCTATCCTATGTCAATTTATATAAAGGACACTCCTAAGACATGAAAAATAACTAGTATTAAATTTCTTAGTATTTCCTGTGGCTCATTTGAGGGAGAAATATGGATATTGCAAGAGGGAAAGAATTTGGAAAGGGCAAAGGCTTGGAAATTAACCACATTATGCCTTGTTATTCTCCTAGGGTCTCACGATTCCTTCAGCTTCTACATTGATGAAGCCTCTCCAGTAGGTCCTGAACAGCCAGAAACTGTCCAGAATTTTGTCTCTGTGTTTGGAACTGTGGCCAAAAAGCTCATGCGGAAATGGTTAGCCACTCAGACAATGAATTTTACTGGTCAGCTAGGAGCTGGGATTCGCTATTTTGATCTTCGAATTTCCACCAAGCCCAGAGACCCCGACAATGAACTCTATTTTGCTCATGGTTTGTTCAGTGCCAAAGTCAATGAAGGCCTTGAGGAGATCAATGCATTCCTCACAGATCACCATAAGGAGGTAGTGTTCTTGGACTTCAACCACTTTTATGGGATGCAGAAATATCACCATGAAAAACTAGTCCAAATGCTGAAAGATATCTATGGAAATAAAATGTGCCCAGCGATTTTTGCCCAAGAAGTTAGTTTAAAGTACCTGTGGGAGAAGGACTATCAAGTGCTGGTCTTCTACCATAGTCCAGTGGCTCTGGAAGTGCCCTTTCTGTGGCCTGGGCAGATGATGCCAGCACCCTGGGCCAACACCACAGACCCCGAGAAACTGATCCAGTTTCTTCAAGCATCCATCACTGAGAGAAGAAAGAAGGGCTCGTTTTTTATATCTCAGGTGGTGCTGACTCCCAAAGCTAGCACTGTGGTCAAAGGGGTGGCAAGTGGCCTCAGAGAAACAATCACAGAAAGGTAAGTGTCTTTAAAATATTAGGGGGGAAACCTCAAATAATTTAACTTGAATTCACAGAGGTCGTAATTGATGAAGCTAAAATTCACACCTATGTATATTAGCTCCCCAGGGGTACTATAACAAAGTAACACAAATTGGGTATCTTAAAACAACAAAATTGTATTATCTCACAGTTCTGAAGCCTAGAAGTCTAAAATCAGAATTTCAGCAGGGTCAGTTCCTTCTGAGGACTCTAAGAGAGAATCTATTCCATGCCTTTCTCCTAGTTTCTGGTGGTGGCTGGCACCTGAGTATTACTTGGCTTATACATGCCTCACTCCAGTCTCTGCCTCCTTTTTCACGTGCCATTTTCTCATGTGTCTCTGGTCTTTTCCTTTGCTTATAAGGATACCAGTCGTATTGAACTAGGGCCCACCCTAATGACCTCATGTTACTTACTTCTGCAAGGAACCAATTTCTAAATAAGGTCACACTCACAAGTAGCAGGGGTTAGGGCTTTAACATATCTTTTTCTAGGCCACAGATGAACCCGTAACACCATATATTTTAACTCCACGTCTAGTTGTCTTTTCATAGCACTTTTTTCCACATTTGTGTAGTGCTTTATAGGTTACAAGATCCCTTCTCTACCATTTGCCATCTTCTAATATCCCTGATTCCATTTGATCTGCATAACAACCCTGAGAAGTAGGTATTGTCTTACATATTTAAAAAATGAGGTTCATAAAAGTGATATATTTTTCCTAAGACCCCTTCAACAGTGAATTATAACACAGATCCTCAAGCTTGATTCTCAAACTATATCCTATGTCCTTTATACTACATATGGTGCCTTATAAGGAATGCTTATCCCTGAGAAAGTGGTCAATTCATTGGTCAAGCCCAGCCAAACATGTAGAATGTTCATTACCTGTGAGGTATAATTTGAGCAATTGCAGATTTTTCCTATGAGTGTGACACAACCTTCTGAATTGTACATATTATTTATTGAGTTACAATTTTAAACAATGCAAATATCTGAAGAAAGAACACAAATCCTTATCAGATCTCTTTTTATCTTTAATTGACATTTTGAATTACGCTAGAGACAGAGCATGAATGCTTGGCTAGGACTCGAGGTCTTTTTGGAAAAGACAAAAGATGAAGAGAAATAATTTGGCGATGAAAATAGTATGGGTGACCTTGTGGCATAGCATGTAGAGTGGGAAATGAATGGAGATGAAGCTTAGAGTGGCACAAGAACACATTTTCCAGAAATCTTTTAACCAGGCTACAAACAACCTCCTCCTGTGAGCAATGGGGAGCTAGATAATAAAGTCTAAAAGTAGCATGACTTGACAAGATCTGTGTTTTATGTAATAACTGATGCAGCCTGGAGGATCAATGGAATGGAGAGAGAGAGCAATTAATAGGTATTTAGAACTGTTTCAGCAAGATGATGCAGGCTAAACTGAGGAAGTGAAAAAACACAGAAGGGGATAATATGGAAGCAGTGGAAATTCAAATGATTTGGTGACTAGTTCACTGTGTGGTATTAATGGGAGACAAGAGTTGCAGATAAATGGGACAGGTAATGGAAGCATTCACAGAGTCCGTAAACAAAGGCACAGGGACTTAGGAGGAAGTGGGGAAGGTACCATCAGGATCATGCTGAATTTAAAGCATTGGTAAGGCATTCAAGTAGATATGGCTAATTGATCGTTAGAAATATAGGCCAACTCATTTGGGGGTTGTTGGCATTTCTTGGTGGTGAAAACTCCAAGTCATTGGAGTGGAAATGTTCCTCCATATAAAATCATAATTTTCTTCTGTTATTCAAAATGGTCCATTAGCCAGGACTGCTCTGTTTCTTAAAATTTAAATAACATTACCAACCATTCACTGTGTACTCTGTGAAAGCATATGGCTTTTTCTATGATTTCTGCTAATGTCTATATTACTTAGGAGCTCTTGCTACTGCTGGATTATATCATTTTATGGCTCAATCGTCCCTCATAGTCTGTCCATGTCCCATTCTGAGACATGAAACTTGCTTCATGCTCATTTCCACAATGGTTTTTAAATTTTACTGAAGATCTGAAGAGGCCAGGAATGTTTTATAATCACAATAATGTATATAATTTAAAATCAAATTTTAAATTTGTCTTTAATTACAAATCTTCTGTCGTGGGATAACAACCCCTGACAACATCTAGAACACTGTATACCTCAGCCTCACATCCTTTGACTGAATCTTCTCCTTCTTTACCATTTTTCACCTCTTTTCTTTCTTTACCCTTAGATTGCCTTTGAGACTCTACATTCTGGATAATTATGTAACTAGATTAACATTTCTAGATGATTATGACTAACTAGTCACCTCTCTCCAGCTTCCTAAGCCTAAATTCAGCTAGTTCCAACAAAGTGTTCATCAAAACAAGAGGGCTTTTTGGTTTATAGCACCACTTTCTACAAATACTATTTTTTCTGTTAATTAACAATTTACCCCTTTCTCACAAACTTAGAAAGTGAAGGAGTTGTGTATGTATAAGAATGCATTGTTTTTAACCGTATCCTATAGAGTCCCCAGATATTGAAGAATCTCAGGAGCCTGGGAAGGAACTTACTCCAACTTCCTCCATTCTCTCCATACCTTGAATGAAAGAAACTTCATTTTTAAACTTTTACATTTGGGCAGGATGCAAGTCTTCCTATGACCTCTTCCAGCTTCCAGCATAGTTCTATGCTTAGGAAAACACTCATGTTAAATGCTTGCTTTGCATTTTAGCCAAGAACTGTACTCTCATTTTACCTGTGTAGAGATCATCCTTTGAAGAAGCCAAAAAGAATTTACTCAAAGATAAATCATTTTCATTTTTTTCCTCTTATGGCATTTGATGTAATTTAGAAGTTTTCAAGTCATAGTTAAACTTCTTTTTGGTTACTCATGCTCCAGTACAGTACTACTAAAGCAGGATTTGTGGGGGGTAAAATCAGTCAGGAAGGTGCTGAGCATTATATTCTGTACTACTCTCCCAAAAGATTCACAGTATAAATTAGCATATAGAAAAGGCACTAAGGAATATTTTAGTGACCAATCCTATTTAAATTTAACTAATACAATGTATTCCAAGCACTTAAATTTTGTTCAGATAACACTTATTAACAGCACATCGAGTTAATTTTTTAAAACCACTCTCAGTCCTTTAATTCAGAACTTCTCACTTGCCTCTAGCTTGTACATCTGGAATAGTAGAGCTGTATTGTTGAAAAGAAAAAGGAGAAGAAAATGGAATGTTAAAAGTAGAAATGAAGACTCCATATATAGAACCAACATTTTCCTCTACAGGATTCTGCAAATTACGTACAAATAATTTGCAAATATATCTGAACCTTGTCATTATAGTTGTGCTGGCATTCTGTAGTGGAGTTTAGTCTCAGAAGTACTCGAAAGGCTTTCTTTTTAACCATTTGCAAAGCTGTATTCTGAATGCTATATTAATGTGAAACTTAGTTTTTTGTTTTGGTTTGGTTTGGTTTTTGGACATACTCCAGCCTTCTGCATGGAGCCTATAGGAAACGCTTATTGTCAGCTCTGGGGTCATGCCTTGCGAAGGCAATTTATTAATACTTATCACTTGTTTATCAAAGAGGCAGTGAAGGAGCACTTGACTCCCCAGAGCTTTTTGGCTTTCTCTTTTTACCAAGTGATGAAGCCTATGAAGTGAACTCATTCTGGCATTGTCCTCTTTGCATTTGTGCAAAAGCCATTCATTCATAAAGTCCTATGTTGGCACCAAAAAGTATAGTAAATTATTCTGTGCCATGAAAGGAATATGGGTCTTATATATTTTCATCTGCAAAATTTGGGATTTGAGCTTGGTTACCTCCAAGATCCATTTCAGTTCTAAAATCCTACAGTTCCAAGATCCTGTATTTGACTAGCTAGTTTCTCTACAATTTTTTAAATAATGTCTAATATTTGGGGTAGTAAAACTCTGAGCACATGCATTTAGAAAACCGTGTTTGAAGTTGTGAGTGGCTTTCAGGGAAGCTAAATCCAGCCTGGAATTTAGGTACCATAGCTTTCAATTTGGCCAATGGTTCTAAATACTGCAGATTCGTTTTCTACATTTTAGCAATGCCAAAACACACAGATTTTTATTTCTTAAAGATCTATTTTTAATTCTTTTTCAAACACCAGCTTTTGCACCTCACCCCCACGCAATTCACACATTCTTAAAAAGAAGGTGTGCAACTTGAGTAAAGTCTTTTCCTAATTTGTGGAAGTTTATTAACTTGTAGGTTTTTTTAATTTAAAAAATGCAGTCATGCTACCTGTCAAAATTTTTAAGCAGCAATGCATTTTTGCAAGTAAAGTGATGCTGAGTTAAATTAGAATATATTTGTACAGGCCAACAATTTAATTATTAATGTAATAATAACGGTTATAGCTATTAAGGGCTATTTTAAGGATTCCCTCTATCTGTTAGATCCTTTAGTGTTTTATATACATGATTAGGTTCAATATTTATAAAACCTCTAAGTGTAGGTTCTATTGCCATCCTATCTTAATAATGAAGGGACTCAGCCTTAGAAGTGTTAAGTAACTTAGCTGGATAACACAGTTAAGAAAAGGTGTGTTCGGGATTTAAATCCAGGCTGCTTCCTCTGTTCATTTATTCACAAAAGCAAACATTTAAATACCTAATCTGTTCTAGACACTGTAGTTCAAGTGACTGATCTCAGATATGAAGTCTTATAACCATTACATCATACTCTGTCCCTGCTATCTGTGAGAATCCAAAGAACTGACTACAACTTTGTTTTCATCTTATTAAATGACAATATCTAGATCAAATTTGACAGAATATTCAGATAGACTGAGTTCAATTTAGTAGTTATCTGTTGAACAGCTCCTATGAGTTCTTCATTAAGTGCTGTGAGGGATATTAAAATTGGTATGTGCTATTGTTCCCGTCAAGCATCACATAGGTTTGAAAAGGCAAGAACACGCAAG